CCCCCCCCCCCCCCCCCCCCCGCCTCCCCTTTGGGGCAGGGAAGGCTCTGCTGCCCGGGAGCAGCCGCCCAGCGGTGGCCGGTGTCTCCTGGTCACAGAAGTCGCAGCCCATGACGGGGGCGGCTTTCCCACCGGCCTCGCAGAGCGACCAACGGCCAAGTTGCGGGTGAGTTTCCTGGACCCCCCCCACCCCCCCCCCCCCCCCGGCCTGCTAGGGACTCCCAACGCCCCCGCCGTGGCCGGCTAGCCCCGCTCAAGGAAGGCCCGGCCGGCCCCACGGAGACTGGGCTAAGGAGGAGGAGGAGGAGGAGGGGCACGTGCCCCCGGCAGCTATCTCGGGCTCCGGCTGGCCCGGCAGGGCCACACCCAGCGGGCTCCCCCCGCTCCCCGGGCTCCTTTCGCGACTGGCGGGCAGGGTATAAAAGGCCTCCCCGGCGCCGGTTCCGCAGCATCGGCCGCTTTGCTTCCTTCAGCCCCGAGAAGAGCGCCCACAGCCCCCCGTCATGGTGCACTGGACCGCCGAGGAGAAGAACGCCATCAGCTCCATCTGGGCCAAGGTGGACGTGGGCCAGGTCGGCGGCGATTCTCTCGCCAGGTGAGCCCCGCGGAGGGGAGCGGGCGAGCGAGCGAGCGGGCGGGCGGGGGGCGCTGGCCGCCTGCCTCCCGGGCGCTGACCCTCCCCTCGGCCGCTGCAGGCTGCTGATCGTCTACCCCTGGACCCAGCGCTTCTTCAACAGCTTCGGCAACTTGAGCAACGCGGCGGCCATCCAGAGCAATGCGCAGGTCAAGGCGCACGGCAAGAAGGTCTTCACCGCCTTCGGGGACGCCGTCAAGAACCCCGAGGCCGTCAAGGAGACCTTCGCCAAGCTGAGCGAGCTGCACTGCGACAAGCTGCACGTGGACCCCGCCAACTTCAAGGTGGGCTGCCCTGGGGGTCGGGGGGTCGGCGGGGGAGCCCCCTCCCTCCCTCCCTCCTGACACCGGTGAGGGCCCCTGGTTGGCCCACGAGAGGCCTGCAAGGGAGCCCCCGAACCCAGAGACACCCCCTCCTTCTCGCCCGCCCCCCTCCAGCTCCAGACTGGGACCGGGGTCCCTCGGGATTCGCGGCCGGGTGCAAAGACGACGGAGGTCGCGGCCGAGGAGAGGGGCTCCTCGGAGGCAGGACTCAGCCGGCCCGGCTATAACCCCGGCCGCCCTTTCTCTTGCAGCTGCTGGGCGACATCCTGCTGACAGTGCTGGCGGCCCAGTTCGGGAAGGAATTCACCCCGCAGATCCAGGGCAGTTTCCAGAAGCTGGTGGCGGTGGTGGCCCACGCCTTGGCCCACCGATACCACTAGGCCTCCTCTTCCTCCGCAGCGGCTGCGCCCGCCCTCGGTCACCCGCGAGGGAGCCATTCCACCCCCACGACCTGCTCAGACAATAAAAGTCACCTTTTGCAGACTGAACCGACTCCGTCCGTGCCTTTTGGGAGGGGGGGGCGACGGGGAGGGAAGCGGCCGGGGTCTCCCCCTTCCTGGGGCAGCGCGAGGAGGGCCCCATAAGGGAAAACCCGGAGGGAGGGGTCGTCCTCGGCGGGAAAGCGACCGGCGGCTCCCCAAGCGCGTCTGCTTGAAAGGGGGGGGGTCTTTAGAGGTTTCGTTCCACCGAAGTCAGGAAAAGGCCCCCCGCCCCCGCCTCTTCCTAAGTAACCGAAGCCGCCGAGCCCCGGCCGCACACCAGGCCGTCGGGGACGGACGGCGCGGGAAGACGAGCGCCCGGCTTCTCTTGGCGCCTCCGTGGCGCCCTCCAGGCCCGCTGCCCGAGCCTTTCAGTTGGGGAGGGGGCCCGTCCCGACCGCGAGGCCGCCGCCGGCTGCCTCCCTTGTGAGCGAGAGGGGCTCAGGGGGGCGGCTGGAAAGGGAGCGTCTCGGCCCCACCGCTCAGGCCAGGAGCCGCCGGGAAGGGAATCTGGCCAGGGACGCTTTCCCCGCAGCTGGGGGCTGGGCGGGGGGCTCCCCTTCCTGGACAGGCCAGCTGGGGGTCAGTCGCACCTGCTTAAATATATAAGGGAAAGCCGGGCAACGGGCCAATTCGGAGGCTTCTGTGTGGAAACTGGCAGGTTTCCATGGTTGGGTTGCACTCTGCAGAGGACTGGACTAGATGACCTTTGTGGTCCTCTCCAGAGTCCCATGATCCTATGGTTCTAGGAGGGATGGGTTGGGGGGGGACTATAAAGGCGGAGGAATTGCCCCCCCCCATCATCCAAGACGGTGATGGCCCCTGAGAGCGAGTTCAGAAGGGGGGGCGGGGGGGCGGCAGAGCCTGGAAGCCAACCAGGAGAGGGTGCTGAAAGGATCCGTTTGGTCCGCAGAGGAGGGGAGGGGGGGGACAGCAGCCTTTAAAGGGCTTCAGAGACCTCCCCCCACACGGAAGACGGGGTGGGGGGGGG